CATGGGCCAGTGAAGCAACGTCCTCCACAACTAGACTGAAGAACAAAAGGACAGCAACTTGTCTGTTCCCCTTCCCCCAATTCCCCAACGCTGTTCCCAATTCCCCAATAAAATCTTTAAAAAACAAAACAAAACACTACTGAGCTGTATATTTAAATTGGTTAAGATGGTAATTGTTATGTGTTTTTTGCCATAATAAAAAATGCATTTACAAAAAGAAAACTGAGCAATAGTTTTGGACTTTATTCTTTGCCTCATGTCAACTCACTACCACCACTTCAATGAAAAGAAATAGAACTAAAAAAAAAAAAAAGAAAGAAAGAAAAAAAGGTAAAGGACTAGAGTAGGCATTTCTCCAAAACAAGATATATAAATGGCCAACAAGTACATAAAAAGATGTTCAACATCTTTTGCATTAGGAAAATGCAAATCAAAACCACAAAGAGGTACCACTTCACACTCACCAGGTTGGCTATAATTTAAAAAGAAAGAAAATAACAAAATAAGTGGTTGGCCAGGATATGGAGAAATTGGAGCCCTCATATATTGCTGGTGGGAATGCAATATGGGTCAGCTGCTGTAAGAATAGTTTGGCAATTCCTCCATGAGGTAAACACATAATTACCATATGACTCAGCAAGTCCACCCCTAGGTATATACCCAAAAGAATTGAAAACAGTGGTATTCAAACATACCAGCACTATTCACAATAGTCAGAAGTTGGGAACAGCCTAAAAGTCCATCAGTGGATGAATGGATAAAAACATTCTGGTCTACACATAGTGGAATATTATTCAATCACAAAAAAGAATGAACTGATACAACATGGATGAACTTCAAAAACATTAGAAGCCAGACATAAAGATCACATATTGAATAATACGAAATATACAGAAGTAAATCCATAGAGACAGAACACAGATTGTGCTTGCCAGTGGCTGATGGATGAGGAGACTGGGGTACAACTGCTTAATGGGTACAGGGTTTCCTTTGGGGATGATGAAAATGTTTTGGAACAACTAGATAGAGGTGGTCGTTGCACAATATTGTCAATGTACTAAATACCACTCAATTGTCCACTTAAAATGATTAACTTTGTTATGTCATTTCACCTCAACAAAAAAATTATATACACAGGCTTTAAATCCATCATTTCACCACATTCTATATTTTAACATCAGATGATCAAACAGTATTTAGCAGAATTTATCAACTTTGAATGTGAAGCAGGCCTAAACCCAAAACTTTGTGATACTAAAGTGGAAAATGGGATGTAATAAAGTAAAAATTATTTTTGAAATGCAATTTTTTTCTTGACAAAAAAAATATGTGGTAGGTAATAAATTTTCCTTCCTTCAGAGCACTGATTGAGAGTGTGGGCTTCAGAGTTACATCAGCTGGGTTCTCATTCTCGTTGTCCCAGGAATGATCTGGGGGACTATCAAATGCACTCTATCTTTCCGTCATTTTTCTGTACTATTAAGAGTTGCATCGGGCCGGCCGAGTGGTGTGGTGGTTAAGAGTTAGCTTGGGAGCGCGAGCTCTGAGCAGCAGGACTGCCAGTTCAGATCCCACATGGGCCAGTGATGCCGCACCCTCTATAGCTAAGATTGTGAACAACAGCTCAACCTGGAGCTGGGCTGACATGAGTAACCGTGAGCAGCCGTCCAATGGCTGGTCAGCGACTGCCTCACCCGGGAAGAGCGCAATGATAATACCAACATGGGCCAATGAAGCGACATCCTCCACAACTAGACTGAAGAACAAAAGGACAGCAACTTCTCTGTTCCTCTTCCCCGATTCCCCAATGCTGTTGTCCTCCCTCAATTCCCCAATAAAATCTTTAGGGGGGAAAAAAAAAAGAGTTGCATCGTTGCTGATTCACGATTTACTATAATACATAAACTTATTCTCCCTCTGCTGGCTGTTCCCGTACTACCACACTCTAATAGGCTAACACATACCAGAGCAGGGGTTACGATCATTTCAAAATATTTACTGAGGGCTTACTTATTATGTGCCATGCACTTTGCTGCATCCTGAACGTACCATAGTAAAGTTAAAACATGAGCCCTGGCTTAATTTTTCATCTAGTAGAGGGAGCAGACCATAAACAACCCATTTTTGTATCATGATTAAGTATTATAAAAGAAAAGTGCTATACTAGAGAATGACGATACTATTTGAGGCAGTGTAGTCACGAAAAGCTTCTTTTAGGAGGGACATCTAATCTGAAAGACCTGCATGGTATTAACCAATGGCAATAGGTAAATTTGAGATTGGAAAACTTGTAAGGCTAGGATAAGTAGTTTGAAAAGTATTAATATTTAACTGCAGTGAAAAATAAATGGTGCATTTCCAGCAAGAGAGTGATATAATTTTGTGTTTTAAAACGGTCGCAGAGGCAAGCCAGAAAGCAGACCATTTAGAAGGCACTGACGGTGGCCTGGACTTGGGGTAATTGTGTTATTGGCTAGCGTGACAGGGTGGCTGAGGATGTCATTCTGTGATAGAACAATGATTACAGTGCAGGTTGGAGGACAAGGGGATGATTGAGTATTGAAGAGAAAAACAAATCAGGTTTCAGGGTGTCTTGCTGTGAACAGCCAGAACCGGGGCTGGCAAGACACGCTCAGAACTGGAAATCTTCCCACCGAGTCTGAAGTACAGGAGCGCCCAAGAGAGCCGAACTCCGGTCCCGCCACCCTTCTTTGGTAGCATCAAATGAAGTGTCCGAGACCGAGATGACCTAGCCCAGGGAAACGCGGGAAACATCAGGAAGGAGAGAGTCTAACCTTCAGAACTAAAACTGGCCGCCACGCTAAATCTCCGCCACAGGGGCGACTATAGCTCGCCTAGTGCCTGCGACCTCTCACGCCTGCGGCTTTGCCCCACCGCCGGAAGTGCCGCCTACCCATGGTCACTTCCGCTATCCCAGGCTTTTGTCTCTCTCGCGAGAACTGGAAGTGCCTATGTGATCTGGGCTAAGCGGAAGTCGGGCCTCTTTTTCGTGGCGCCTCGGAGGCCGTCGGCAGCTTCAAGATGAAGGTAGGAAGTTGTGGCGGTTGTTGGACTGTGCTTGGGAAACGTGACTCGAGCCCCAGAACTCGGTGTTGCCGTCGTCGTAGTTCTCCAAAGCGCTGGCTCTAGATAGAGAAGGGTCTGAGATGGGAGGAAGCTCACCCTTCTGGCGCCGGAGCTCCCTGAGAGAGCGGATGGCGAGCGATTGCCGCGGGAGCTGCGCCGGGCGCGAGCGCCATGGTGGCGTCCTCGGGCCCAGCCGGGACAGACGCGGCTCCGCTGCCCAGTTGGCGGTCCCTGGGTCGGGCTTCTTATTCCGAGAGTGTGAACCGCTGTGCAGCACCGTTCGCTCCCGGAGTCATTCCACAGGGCTTGAAAAAATATTTCTTATTTTAAGTGGGTATTTGTTGCACGTTAATACGCACACGTGCTTTAGTGAATAAAACTGATATCTCAAGTTTTCTGCTGATGGTGTAGGAATGAAATGAGAGGCTTTTTGCAGTGGAGTATCTTTGAGGTGGTTCTGCGGTTTTCATAAAGGCTTTTTTTTTTCTTCCCCCCCTTTTCCCCCCATTTAATCCTTAGCTGAACATCTCTTTCCCAGCCACTGGCTGCCAGAAACTCATTGAAGTGGACGATGAACGCAAACTTCGTACGTTTTATGAGAAGCGTATGGCCACAGAAGTTGCTGCTGATGCTCTGGGTGAAGAATGGAAGGTAAGAGTTGACGACCATATTGAATTGTTGCAGCTCTTTAAGAGAAGTGGTAAACGCTGTTGGTGATTGGTGTGTACGATGGGGTTCAAACTCAGGGCCCTGTATGCTGATCTTGGGTTAGTTTCTTTCAACACATCATACAAGATAGACCGATCGCTTGGCAGCGTTATGTAGATCAAAGGGAAAATAAAATATACGTAATTGCGCTGCAATCTAAGCGCCAGTGGGTATCTTTAAAAGTGCCAAGAAGGAGTGTTTCTGATTTGTTGTTTGTTGATACCTTGGTTTCTTTTTTTTTTTTTAATTATTTTCTATTATGAAATACACATTTTTTAGAATTAGTTTCAGCTGTACAACGCAGTGCAATAGTTATACTTTTTACTCCTCGAAGTGACGTCTCCCCTCCCCCAATCCGCCGCCCACTTCCCCCCAATATCATACATATCTATTAACAATTCCCTTGACTCCACCCCCACACTATACTCCACGTCCCATGACTTATAGTTGACATACAATATTATACAACATCAGCTTCAGGTGTACAGTGCAGTGATCAAGCCTCTACCCCATCCATGATGTGGTCTCCCTAGCAAGACATATGACCATCTGACACCCCACAAAATATTCACAACACCATCAATTACATTCCTCGAACTGTCTCACGTCCCTGTGGCAACACTGCAGCTACGTATTTATGCTGTCCAACCGCCTCCCCGTCTCCCCCATCCCTACCCCCTCTCAACCAACAGCCATCAGTTGCTCCTCCATATCTCCTAGACCACCTCTGCCCGCTTCCCTTGTTCATTCAGTTTTTTAGCTTCCACATATAAGTGAAATCATGGATACCTTGGTTTCTTAACATAGTCTTTCGCTCTCTGGATCTGTTGCCTCCAGTATATATAGCAGGTTAGAAATATGGCTTGATTGAAAGGAAATTGCTAATTGAACGTGGCAAATTGGAAATGTAGACAAAACTGAGCGAGTGGAGAAAAGTTTTAAGTGTTTTCGTGTTGGCCTTAATCTATTTCCTCAGATTAAGGGTGTATTTCATAGAGGCCACAATTCTTTATTTTATGATGTTATATTCTGCAGGGTTATGTGGTTCGAATCAGTGGTGGAAACGACAAACAAGGTTTCCCCATGAAGCAGGGTGTCTTGACCCATGGCCGTGTCCGCCTGCTCCTGAGTAAGGGGCATTCCTGTTATAGACCAAGGAGGACTGGAGAAAGAAAGCGCAAATCTGTTCGGGGTTGCATTGTGGATGCCAATCTGAGTGTTCTCAACTTGGTCATTG